GGGTGGGTGGGAAATGCAAGAGAAGAGTCGCCTCAGCAACACTAAGGGAAGGAGAAGGAGGAGAAGGTCACCACTCTTGCTATCGCTGCACTGGAAGAAGAAGAACGTGAACACTCTGCTGCTTTTCTGCTGGGCATCTCTCCACGCTTTGCTTCTTACGGGGCAAAGTTGCCCTCCCCGGGACACATAGTCCTACCCCAACTGCCACGCGGATGGGTTTGCCCTCCCGCCCCTGCTGTTTGTGGGAGTGGGGAGCTGCGCTTCCCCCTCTGCTACTAAACGTGGCTTCCCTCGACGATGGCTTGGGGTGCAGTTGACCCAGAAGGGGACTGAAAGCCGAACTCGTGGGGTGCCGTTGGCTCAGTTCAGTAAGCCAGGATGCTTGGCCGGCACAGACGCCAGCTCCCGTGGTGCCCCCGCACAAAAGAGGGAGCCCTGAGGAGCTGGCCGTGTTGAGCGGGCAATGCTTGGTCACACTGTCATTCCTTTCTCAGGGCCACTTTCAGCACGAACCAGAACCCCTCTGGGGACCAAGGAAATGCCAGCGTTAGCCTGCCCCTCCTGAACTGTTTTAAAATGCCAGCAGAAGCTGAAGCAAAACAAGCCTGCCGAGCTGGGCCGTACTGCTGAGGGCTGGCTGCAGTTGTGGTAATGACCATCCAAGTTCTCCAGAAGACTTCTTCTGTTTCCTTCTCCAGAGTGGAAACAGCCAGAACTGGGCCAGGCAGCAAAGGGGAGCCATTAGTCACTGGTGGAAGGTTTCACATTACACACCAGTCATCCCAGGACAAGGAAGCGCCAGCCAGCTTCCCTGCCCTTCCTCTTGGTTAGGAAAACACCACGGTTGCCTGAGAGCACTTGCCGACAATGGTCCAGCCCCTGCCAGCAGAGGGGTCGGTCTGTGTCTCCCTGGCCCTTCTGACGTTCAGCCTCCTCTGCTGACCTCAGTGAAAGAGAAGGCTGACATGTCGGTCGACCCAGGCAGCAGCGGTTGCTGTCCTTACCCTCTATCCACGAATCTCTCCCGGGGCATCTGAGCATAAGCTGAGGACTCACCGCCCCCAACCCAGCCCAGCCCAGCCCAGCCCAGCCCAGCCCAGCCC